AAGTCTCTGCTCAAATGTCCCCTTGTCAANCCTCCCATTTTCACTACCACCACCTGGGGTCAAGCCACCTTCAGTGCTTGACTCTCTGTTGGTCCTTCATCTCCTTCAAGTCTCTGCTCAAATGTCTCCTTGTCAATGAAATATTTTGATCATCCTATTTAAATGGGCAAATGCTATTCCCCTAGTACTTTACAAGGTAGTACTTCTCTCCTTTCCTGCCTTTTCTCCACAAAACATTTCACCATCTGACATACTACATATTTTCTTATTGCCTGTTGCTTATTGTATCCTCATTAGAACATAAGCTTCATAAGGGCAGAGACTTTTGTCTGTTGCTCACTAATATATTCCCTGTGCCTAAAAGGATGTTTTGCACATAGGAAACAACCAATAATTATGTGGATTTAATAAATTCAGCTTAAATTACATGGTCCATTATTTCAACCATATTTTAGTTAGGGGATAGTGTAAAGGGCCTGAATTCCAAGTAAAGGAGTCTTAGTTGCATATTGTCAGCAAAAGGGTGGGGGCCAAAACAAAATCAGCAAAAGATTTGCTTCCTTAAGGCAGGAATACGTTATGATCAGGTTTGTTTTTTAGGGACATAATTCTATCACTGGTAGAAAGGAGATGGGAAGGGGGTGAGCCTAGAAGTGGGAGAACAGCTTGAAATTGTGTGGCTATGAAAAGAGCCTAATCTAAAGCAGTGGTAGTGGGTGGACACAAGAAACTGATTTCCGGAGATATGTCTAAAACGGAATATGAGTCCCAGTGGGAGTGGGAATGGGAAAGGGGCAGGAGTTAAGGATAAAAGTAAACATTCTATCTTGGTAGGCCAGGAGCTGGCAAACTGAGAACACAGAGAAAATTTTGGGGATGATGTTTGTGATGTGAGAAATCTGAATAACCAGCAGAGCTTTTTATAGGTAGTGGGAAATATGGCTCTATTGCTCTCCTGGTTGATCGGGGCTAGAATTATGATTTAGAAGTCATCAGCAGTATGGAAACTGAAATAAAAGAGTCAACCAGACAAACATATATTTAATGAGAATAAATGAGGATCAGTGGTGATTGTCAGGAGAGTCAGAATGTAGTATTCAGAATTAAACACAACACTGCAGATATTGTCTGTACCTACACCAAGTGCAGTGAGACATAGTCTTTGTTCCGGATACTACTGGTTCTTTTCGGTGAGTGAATCTGTGGTTATTTTTGGCAATCACATTACATTGACATTTTATACTCTGCTAAAAGTTAACTAAAATCTGTGGATGATTTTCAATTCTATTATTATTTTGGTCTTTTCTTGGCTCTACTGGTGCAAATCATTTTACGAACCTAAGTATAGTACTTTCCAATTATGATCGCATCAGATAAGGTGCTTTTGGTGCAAGAACCAAAATACTTCATTAAAGGTAGTTTATACTAAGAGGACATTTATTTCTCTCCTGTAACTAAAAGTCCAGAGGTATGTGCCGTGAAGGTTGGTTCAGCAGATGAGCAAGGACGACGAGCCGAACTTTTCCCTTCTTTAGTTGCCAACCTCAGTGTGTCAGTGATACATTCATTCATCAAAGACAAAAGATGGTGGCAGCGGCTCCAAGAATGAAAACATCCAAAAACAGATGGCAGAAGGTTAGCATTTTGATTCAGAGGACTACTCTCTTTCCCTCTGTTGTAAATTAAAACTTAAAAAAATTTATGTACAGTGAATATAGAAATCTTCAGTGTATAGTTTAGATTTGACAAAGGCACACACCCATATAACCCACATTCCTATTGAGATATAGAACATTTTTATAACCACAGAGAGCTTCCTTGAGCACTTTCCTAGTTACCTACCACTGCCACCACCCCTAACTCCACCCAGAAGCAACTACGGGTCTTCTCTCTTAAATCATTCTTGGTTTGTTTGTTTTTGTTGTTGTCAGGGATGAAAATCTTTCCCAGAGGCCCTCTGCCCCCAGCATACTTTACCTGACATCTTCTTGGCCAGATATGTGTCTCTTCTGACCTTTAAGTCAATCATCAGTGACTATACAGTGTGATTATAATACCCCCCATTTTAGACCATTTATGATTCATCCATCCCTTGGGGCTGAGGGAGGGGGCCGTCTGACCTCAGCACACAGCTTCAGGTCTAAATAAAATGGTGTTTGTTTTTCAGGCACTGGAAGAAGAGGGAAATGGTTGTAGGTGTGTGCTCTCTGGCATGTCTATTCTTCCGGCTTTATTTCACTTGCAAATATGTTCATTCAAGTCAACGACTGAAGTACTGATGACGCAAACAAAGGTAGAGACCTCCCCTGAAGTTAACCACAATCCACATTCCAATGCTCTAGTCAAAATTCTTGATCCAGGTCTAAATACAATCAAATTTATACTTGTCTGAGCCCCAAATCTCCATTTAGCCCACAAAAATATCATGAAAAACGTCATTGGACATTTTGATTCTTCCTATACTGGCGTACACAGAGGTATGCCAGTGGAAACATTTAGTACTTTTTCCCATTAAAAATACCTTTCTGCTTTTTTATACCTCAGTAGTTTTCATAAGCCTAAACTTATTCTCAGCTCAGGCATTTTTGTCTCTGTCCCTTGTGTATTTATCACTTGTTTTATGCCTGTTTCCTTTTTGCACACATTCTCCTAAAAGTTGAACTCATGAGAATGACCAGAATGAGAATTTGTTTTTTAGTTGCCCTTTCATTTTTTACCATTTTCCAATATGTTCATGATTTCACTGTGATCCTCCCAACTCCTTTTTAATTTAGCTTCCCTTGGTTTATATCTGTTTCTGTGATCTTAGGAATTTAAAAAACCTGCTTTCTAAACAATGGCAAGTTTTATATACCTAGGTGTGGCTAGCATATTTTTCATTATTAGGGGCCCTAAAATGGCATTGGCACATCCTGTTAAAATAATTTCCATAACTTCTATTTCATCCTTATTGGTTACAATTAAATCCATAAAATCGCATTCCCCTGTTGCATTATCTATCCTCTAAGAGAGATTATCAGCAAGATCAGTAAAAAAATGTATTGAATATTTTGCTTTGGCAGAATGCTTCCAGAGTATAGACATGTAGTTTCCAATCATGACATCTGTCCGCCTCTAGACCAGATGTGAAACTTGCATTAGGAGAGCAGCAGTCACATTCATCCATATAAGGTATTTGTATTTGACTCCCACAGTACTATCAGCTTATGTGTCTCATCTTGTACTCTCAAGCTGTGTTCCCCACCATGCTTAAACCTACAAGCTCAAGGATTTCCAAGCAGGGAACTCTTCCATATATCTCAACACATGTGATTTTACTTGCACAGCATATAAATCCCTGTTGACATTGTCCAGAGATTATCTATATCTCGGCAAGTTTGTCTTGCCTATCTATTTTCATTATATTTGAGGATTACTTCATTATTTTATCACCCTTAGTTAAAAGGTATGGGTGTTAAAAAGTATCAGAGATACAGCAGAAAAAAAAGTCAATCGTTTTTTAACATTTTAAAAAGAGATCCCTTGCAAAGTACTGTAGGAACTGAAAGAACAAATTTACAGTAAATTTTTTCTATTTAAAAAATAATTTCAATTTTTTTTTTTTTTTGGCAGCAGAACTGATGTAAGTAGGTTGTGTGTTTTTCCTTCTTTTCTCTTTTGAATCACTGACATTTTCTCAGCTTCCATGTTACCTCCACCTTAGGTTACACTTGGTATTCTGCAAAGTATTTCATTTTATCATTTTATCTGAGCATTGTCCTTCCCTTTCTTTAAATTTCAGTTTAAAGTTCTCTTTATTAGGTTGGCAAGATTCCTGCTAAGTGCATTTCTCTCAGATGTACTCTATCCCTTACAGGGAGACTGTTATATTAACAGCATAAGCCCCAGTTAAGAAAACCTAGTTTTGGTCTTCTTTTTCTGTTTTGATAGGGCGCTACTTGATAACCATTACCTTTTATTTCTTCTTCAAAGTCATGGCTTCAACTGGAAGAAGAGATGAAAACACCCCTTCAACACCCACACCGAGTACCTCTTTATCATTCACTGCCATATGAGTCAACAAGAGTAGAGTAGGTCTGTAAATTTAATAAGTTTCAGAAAACCTCCTGAGGGAACCTTCCATATCAGTTCCATCATGATTTACCTCAATATAAATGAGAAAGAAATACAATGCCTTCCCTCTTTTCCCTTGTCTGGAGGATTTGGTTTGGATGTTTACCCTCTGACTCTCAATTGTAAATCTTTAGAGACCTACATGCATTAGAGTTCTTTGAAATACTCTCCTTTACTTATGATAGTTACCAGTGACTACATATATGGGACTTAAAATCTGGGGTTGAACTTGAAGGTGTGCCAGAAACAAGAGAGACAAAAAGTCATAGTATTACTGTCTGAAGGAATTTTGCAACTTACTCAGTAAGCTAGCACTGCTGAACACAGGCATCAGCATGTATTGTATCCCTGCTATAAACCAGACTTCCATAAAAAGGTGGTACACCCAATCGACCCCAGTGCTGGGCTCACATAAGTGCTTTTGAGATGATTTTATAGCAGCAAGGAAATAGCAATTCACAATTATGCTTCAGTCTTAGAAGAATACATGTCAGTTAACAAACACTTGATACACAGAATAGATTTCATAAAAAAGAGTTGAGCCTGGCTGGTGTTGCTCAGTGGTTGAGCATTGACCTATGATCTAGGAGATTACGGTTTGGTCCCTGGTCAGGGCACAAGCCTGGGTTGTGGCTCAATCCCCGGTGCGGGGCATGCAGGGGGCAGCTGATCAATGATTCTCTCTCATCACTGATATTTCTACCTCTCTCCTTCTCCCTTCCTCTCTCTGAAATCAGTAAGAATATATTTTTAAAAAAAGAGTTGAATAAACATAGGAATAATAATCTGAAGTTATATTATATGGAATTTTTATGAAAAAGAATGATTTAAATAAAATGTCTTCCATTCAAAATACAGCGATACTGAAAATTAAATACCAAACTTACTTTTACTATGATAAGCTTCGTTCGGTTTTCACGCCTCTGGTTATCATTTTCTGTGTACTCTACTTCAAACAGGGTATTGTAATTTTCTAGTATTGTAGCCATTATCTTGTTGCAGAGGTCTTGCTCTTTCATGCATTCAAGCCCAGGTGGTACACTAAAAATGGAAAAATTTGAGAGGAATTACTTTATAAAAACAAAAATGCCAGCACAGCTGACTCAGGCTTGTATTTTGACATCTCAATGATGGATCAGCCTTCTAAGGATGCTTGGGATTTTCAACAAGCTAAATGGTGACACATATGATGTTGTTGGGACATTTGTTGATTCCCAAACTCTGAATCAATAGCTTATATTGAATAAGAAATGTACCTGTTGTTCAGAAAGAAGGTGTAGTGTAGGTTAACATGGGTGTGATAATGCTTTGTATGTATTAGAAATTGCTACATGTAAGGTAACATTTATATAAAAATAAAAGCAATAAAGAACAAGTGTTATAACAAAAAGAATGGGTATTTTATCATGACAGAAATACTAGGCCGCATAAATAAGAGCAACACAATATTTGAGGATTTCTTAGATAATGCACAAAAAATACAAAAATTAACGGAAAAGATCAATACTACTGGGGAAAAATACTGATAATCGTTGAAGCTGAGTGATGGGTACATGAAAGATTTATTATACTATGCTGTCTTCTTTCGGGTATGTTTAAAAATGTCCATAATTTAAAAAAAGGTGAAAAAGCAAACCTCTGAATGAAGAAGACACCATAATATAAATAAGATAAACATCTTTTCTGTAAGATTAGTAGTTAGAATATGTAAAGAATTCCTAACAATGAGAAAGTGAATTTTTTAAAGAGACAAAATCATGAGTTAAAAAACTTATAGAAGAAAATATTTGGACAGTCAATAATCTTACGAAATGATACTTAACCTCATTGAGTTACCAGTAAAATGAGTTTAAAAAGAAACACCAAAATATCATTTAATACCCATCTGTATTAGTTTTGTGTGGCTGCTGTAACAAATTATCACAAACTTGGTGGCTTAAAACAACAGAAATTTAGTCTCTCCCAGTCTGGAGGCCAGAAGAGCAAAATCAGTATTACTGGGCAGAAATTAAAGTGTGAGCAGGGCCACACTCCCTACAGAGGCCCTAGGGGAGAATCTGTTCCCAGCTTCTGCTGGCTGGCAGCATTCCTGGCTGTGACTGAATCATCTTAATCTTCAATCAAGGCTGGCATTTCCAAATTTCTCTCTGCTCTGTCTTCACAAGGCCTTCCTCTCTGTGTATGTATCTAATCTCCCTCTACCTCCTTCTTATAAGGAGTAATTGCATTTAGTGCACACTCAGATAATCCAGGATAATCCCCTTATGTCAAGATCTCTATCTTAACTACAACTGGAAAGTTTCCTCCTCCTGCCAGATAAGGTAACATTTACAGTTTTCAAGGATTATCATTTGATATCTCTGGGGGACATTATCTACCCTATGATAACACCTTAGGGGTACATATCCTAGGGTGACTACCATGAGTCACACTCTTGTATTCAGTTGCAGGCAGAATCTGTGACTTGCTTCTGATCAAAGAATATGGCAAAGGTGATAGGAAGTCACTCCCATAATTATGTTATACCAGACTCAGTTAGCAAACTTGTGTTTGGATTCTGCTGCTGGCCTTGAAGAAATAGGATGCCATGTTCAGAATGGGCCTATGAAAGAGCCATATGGCAGGGGACTAATGTGGAGCTGAGACCTCTAGTTCACAGCCAATAAAACAACGGGGTCCTCAGTCATGCAGCTGCAAGGAAATGAGTTTTACTAACAACTCGAATGAGCTTGAAAATAGATTCTTCCCCAAATTCAAGCCTCCATATGAAAATGCAGCCCAGCTGATACTTTGCTGTCAGCATTGTGAGACCAAGAACAGAGGGCTCAGCTACGCTGTATGTGGACACCCAACACATGGAAACTGTGACAAAACATATGTCTGTTGTTTTAAGCCACTAAGTTTGTGTTGATTTTTTCACAATAATTGAAAACTAATACAGAGTTTTGTACCTGTAAGTGGGGTGCTGCTGTTAACAACAGCAAAGTAAAAAACAATGTGGAGGTTACTGAAAAATTGGAAATGGAATTGCCTTATGACCCAGATTCCATTTCTGGGTAAATATGTATCTGAAAAAACCCAAAACTCTAATTTGAAAGAATATATGCACCCCTATATTCATTGCAGCATTATTCACAACAGTCAAGATATGGAAGCAACTCAAGTGCCCATCAATAAATAAGTGGATAAAAAAGCTGGAGTATACATACAGAATAGGATACCACTTGGCTATTAAAAAGAATGAAATCTTACCATTACTGAGAGCATGCATGGAACGACGCGAGCATTATGCTAAGCGAAACAAGTCAAATTCAAGAAAGACAAATATCATATGATTTCACTTATATGTGGAATCTAAAGATCAAAATAAACAAACAAACAAAATAGAAACAGACTCATATATAGAGAAAAGAACACACTGACAGTTGTCAGAGGGGAGGGGACATTTGGGAGTTGGTGAAAAAGGTGAAGGGATGAAGAAGTACAAATTGGCAGTTAGAGAATAGTCACAGAGATGTAGATTACAGCATGGGAAATATAGTTAATAATATCATGATAACTATGTATGGAGCCAGGTAGATACTTGAAAGACTGAGGAGACCACTCTGTAAAGTATATGATTTTCTAACCACTATGCTGTACATCTGAAACTAATGCAGAATAATATTGAATGTAAACTGTAATTGAAAAAAAAAGCTTATTATTAATTTTAAATTTACTAATTTTTAAAAAAACCAATGTGGCAAAAACAAATTAAAAAAAGGAGAGGATTCTTGGAAGGTGGTGGAGTAGGAAGCACCAGAAATCTGTCCCCCCACCTAACCAATAATTGCACTAGCAGAATCTGATGAAACTATTTTGGAATTCTAGAGCTTATTGAAGGCTTACAAATCCTAGGGAAAGACTTGGATGATAAATTGTGGTTAAATTTGGTCAATTTCAGCATTTAGCCCAGTAACAACCACTAATCGTCCTGGTCACAGCCATGTGGCAGGAAACTGAGCCTATGTTCCTAGAATAGCCTGCACATAGCTTGCAGGAGCCAGGATAGGTAAAAGGGACCCTGTACTCCAAATATCAGGGTTCTACGCTCTGAATGCTGCTTCTGAGGTGCAAAGAGGTGAGCAGTTATTGTTGCACCTCCCTCCCTTGTTGCAAGCTCTTAGCTGAGGTGACTTCTAGGGTATTTAGAGGGCCAGCACCTTTAATTACGCCCCCCGCCCCCCCCAACTTGACTTTTCCCCTTTTGGGAGCCAGGCATTAAACACTAGGACATTTAAAAACAATTGCATAATGAGGGAAATTATAAAGTAATTGTGCATGCCCACAGAAAGGCTTAAGAAACACCTAAAAAGACCTTCAGTTTACACCTCAGGCTGATCTTGGCATAAAGATGTCTACAACAATTGAAAAACAAAAACAAAAGCAATCAACAAAAATAAAAACAGCAAACCCTGGTGGAAAAGGAGAGTCTGATTTCCAGAGTTACCACATTATTAGATTCAAATGTCCACTGAACAACAAAAAAGATCACACAGCATACAAAGAAACAGGAAAGAATGGTTTATTCCAGGGAAAAAAACATATTGACAGAAATTGGACCTGAAAAAGATCTTTTGGCCTATATACTAGATAAAGATGTTAAGACAACTGTCTTAAAGATGCCCAAAAAAGCTAAAGGAAAATGAGGAAAAAGTTAAGAAAATAATGTGTGAACAAAATGTAGATATCAATAAAGAGAAAAAATACAAAAAGAAGCTGAAAGAAATTCTGGAGATGAAAAGTACAATAACTGCAAAGAAAAATTCATTAGACAGATTCAAAGACATATTTAAGCAGGCAGAGGAAAGAATCAGTGAACATGAATATAGGACAATGGAAATTATTGAGTCTGAGGAACAGGAAGAAGAAAGATTAAGAAAAGAAAACAGAGCCTAATGGACTTGTGGGACACTAGTAAGTGGACCAACATACACATTATGGAGTCCCAGAAGAAGAGAGAAAGAGGCAGAGAGAATATTTAAAGGAATAATGGCTAAAAACTTCATGAAGATATGAATATAAATATCAAAGAAGCTCAGAAGACCCCAAGAGACCCTCTATAATTAAACTTTCAAAAGTCAAAGAGAGAATCTTGAAAGCAGTAAGAAATCACATTATGAACATAGTTCTCATCAGAAACTTTGGATGTCAGAAAACTGATATATTAAAAATGCTAAAAAATGAAAACCTGTCAACTAGAATTGTGTATCTAGCAAAAAATATCCTTCCAAAGTGAGAGAGAAATTAAGATATTCCCAGATAAACAAAAGCTCAGGGAGTTAGTTACCCCTAGATCTGGCCTGCAAGAAATATTCAAGAAAGTATCTCACAGTGAAATGTAGGAACAGTAACTTGAAGTCTTATGGAGAATGAAAAATGTCAATAATGGTAAATATATGGGCAAATACAAAAGCTAGTATTGTTGTAACAGTGGTTTGTAACTGCACTTTTTGTTTCCTCTATGATTTAAGAAACTACTACATTTAAGGTACAAAATTAATTAGTGTAAAAGCCAGTAATACTGTAACTTTGGTTTGTAACTCCAAATCTTGTTTTCTACATAATTTAAAAGACAGTGCATTTAAAAGCATTATTAGTAACCTCAATAGCAAAAGTAGACAATGACACTAGAAGAAAAGAAAACTACAGGCCAATGTCCCTAATAACAGATGAAAAAATCCTCAACAAAACATTAACAAGCTGAATTCAACAACACATTAAAAGGATCATACATTATGATCAAATGGAATTCATTCTAGGAATACAAAGATGGTTCAATATCTGCAAATCAATCAGCGTGATATACCACATTAACAAAATGAAAGATAAAACTCATATGATCCTCTCAACAGATGCAGAAAAAACATTTGACAAAACATCCACTTAAGATAAAAATTCTCAACAAATGGGTATAGAGGGAACATACCTCAACATAATAAAGGTCACATATGACAAGCCCACAGCTGATATCATACACAACAGTAAGAAGCCGAAAGCTC